GGCATTTCACCCACCTTCCCAAACAAACAAGGCATTTCACGCACCTTCCCAAACAAACAAGGCATTTCACGCACCTTCCCAAACAAACAAGGCATTTCACGCACCTTCCCAAACAAACAAGGCATTTCACGAAACTTCCGAGTGTAGCTCCCAGAGGGAAACTAACATGAAACTAATCCCCCGATTCCCAACCACGGACACTCCTCACCCACGGAACAGAGGAGTTTACACCCGGGGCAGTCACTCACCCTCCGCTCACAGCCAAGGTGCAGCGCTGCCCACGGACCCGCCGAGGGCCTGGCACAGGAGCCTCTGGTCTCCACCGCCTGGCACGGCCCTCAAAACCGCCCCGCTTGGGAGCGCAAATCACGAGCTCAAACATCCACAGGCCGGGCACGTCAAACTCGCCCTTCCTGCCGCTCAAAGGATGAGCCAGCCCCAGGCCACGAGGCCGGCTTTGCCCGGCACTTTGTCCCCTCACCAAGTGCCCACCACGGGCTGCTGGAAAGCAGCGGATCCCGGGAATTACCGCCCGTGAGTCACTGACTGCTCCCACCTGCGCCCAACCGGCGGCACCTGGGCACAGCCGGGGCCCCTCACGAGCCCGCAACGGCCACGGCCCCTCACGAGCCCACAACGGCCACTGCCCCCCTCACGAGCCCACAACGGCCACTGCCCCCTCACGAGCCCAACGGCCACTGCCCCCCTCACGAGCCCACAACGGCCACTGCCCCCCTCACGAGCCCAACGGCCACTGCCCCTCACGGCGATCGCTCCGCGCGCCCCAGGGGCACCGCGAGCACCGCTCTCTGCTCGCCCGGGACCGTCCCCTCGTCCTCACCACAGAGCCTCCTCGCCTTGCCGCAGCACACTTAAAAGCTCCTTTTGTGTGTTTTCTCCTGCCGGCGGGACACCAGACGCGAGGTTTTCGCTCCGAGCCCAGCCCCGGCGAGGTTGGCCAGGGCACGCCCCGGGCAGGGGGCTGAGGGAGCACCTGTGCCCCGCACGGCCCCAGCTGTGCCCACCCCAACCCCGCCGAACTACATACACCTCACAGCTGAAGCGCATTAGCTCCCTCCGACAAGCAACAGCTGAAACTCATCGGCTCCTTTCAACGTGCAGAGCTGGGAGGGGAAAGGCTTCACCTGGAAGGCGACGTTAGCGAGGTTCAACCCTGCCACACGCGCAGAAAAGCATCACAAAGCGCCACACCATGGCCTCCTTTAAAGTTAAAAAAAAAAAAACAAAACAAACAAACAAAAAAACCCCACCAAAACCCACCAAAATAAAAAGCCCCAAATTAACGCTGTTGACAAAAGCAGAAGAGATCTCCCGAAGAACCCCGCGGGAAACACATTCACCTACTATTTACTACCCAAACCACAAGGCTGCACCAGGAGCGCTTGGACACCGGGAAACGCGAATTCCCAAAGGCAGGAGCAGCGAAACACCCGCAACTTTCTCCCGCGGCTCCCACGCCTCTGGAAAGGACACCCAGCGCTGCCCCTCGGCAGCGACAGCCCGGGGGTCCCCGGGCAGCGAAGGGGGGCTTTTATACCCCCGTTTCACCGCTGTCCCGGGGGAAAACATTCACCGGGGCAGCGCTGGGAGGGCGAGGAGCGCCCGGAGGAGGAGGAGTGAGGGCGCGGGGGGTCCCCTCGCGGCCGCCGCACTCACCCAGCAGCGCGCGGAGATGCTTCAGCCGGGTCAGCACGTCCCGCTTCGGGTCCAGCGCCTTCTGCGTGGATTTCCTGACGTCGGCGTGGCCCTTCCTGGAGAACATCGCGGCGGGGCCGGCCAGAAGGACGGGGGGATCCGGGGGACACAGGGGATGGATGCCGGCAGCGCTGCCGCCCGGGCGCTCCCCGCACGCGCCGCTCCCCCCCCGCTCTCCGCCGCGCGGGGCGCTGGGAGCCCCGCGCCGCTGACGTCACCCCGCGTGGCGCTGACGTCACCGCCGCTCCCGCCCGCGATCCCGCAGCGATCCCGCGGGGAATGTCCGCTGTGCCTGCGGGACGGAGCCGCCGCACCGACCTGCCGCCTTAGGTACGCTCGGTTTCGTTTATCCTGCAATCCCAGGCTGGCTGGGGTTGGAGGGACCTTAAAGCCCTTCCAGTGCCACGCCCCTTCCACTAGCCCAGGTTGCTCCAAGCCCCGTCCAACCTGGCCTGGGACACTTCCAGGGACCCCGGGGCAGCCACAGCTTCTCTGGGCAACCTGTGCCAGGGCCTCCCCACCCTCACAGGGGACGATTTCTTCGCGTTGGATTTCTTCATCCAATCCAGCTCTCCATAGGAAAACCCTCAGCTTTTGAATAACTGCTTGCACTATAAATATGTAAATATTTACTACCTTTATTCCTGTGACACAGAGAGTTCATAGTTATACAACAAAAGCATGATCCGCCCCAGAATTAGGAGCCAGCAATGTTTCACTTAAAGGTCTTTAGATCCTCTCAGTAAAATTCCTGTTTAAAAAAAAAAAAAAAAAGTAAATTTTGATAAGCTCCAAGGCAGGTTCTGTGGTCCTAAAAAAGAAAACAGTGTGTGTTGGAGAAATAACTTGCATGTATGCTTCTTAGTCTTTCACAAAATTATTCAAGAATCAGTTTGCACGTCACGTAGAAATTATTTTTCAGCCCTGAATCATTGTAGAATAATAAAATGTCCCAAGAAATACTATTGTTAGGAGCAGAAAATACATCACTGCCACGTCTCACTTCCTCTGAGCCCTCTCAGGGACCATTTCTGCTGCAAAGGCCTGGAGTCACCAAAGCAACAGGTCAACAAGCCCTAAACGTGTTCCACTGGAGAAGGGACAGCCCTAGCAAAGGCTGGCCCTGTCACCAAACCTTGTGGTATTCCCGCTGCTCTGTAGAATTTACTTCCTGCAGTCAGGAAGATGGATAGTGCTGATGCACAGCATTTAAAAAGAAAAATAAAAAAATAATTCTTTTTCATGCACAAAAAAGATGGAGCACACGGCCTTGGAGTCAGGCACAGAAAATTCACTGCTGCCCCATCATCCCTTGTCTTGGAGCCCATTCCAGGCTTACGGTAATTCCTATTGCATATTCTTCCCATCACACCATTACACAATGTCTCATTCTAGAAGAGTTATAAATCTGCTGCAGTTGTCTAAAACTTTGGGTCATGTGTTGGAATTTGAGCATCTGCAGCTTCCTGAGAGGAGTGAATTGGGCTGGTCCAGATTTCACCTTCCACTGCCACGAATCAGTTTGTGCAATTGGCTGAGACAGCACATGGCTAAAATCTTGGCTTCCTCTTGTTTCTTCTTTTTTTTTTCCTTCCCTTTTATTTTAATTGACTTACGAAACCGGTGACTTTCAGTTTGTCTCTTCTGGCGGTTTCTGATTGTTCCATGTTTTTGTCTTTTTCTGCTTTGTTGAAAAAGGAACCATTGCAGATAAAGGAATTGTGGTTATGCAGCTGCTCGAGTGTCTGATAACTTCTGTGATAAGTAGGGAAGCATTGTGGTGCTGAGCACCAAACTGCATAGCTTTGGTCACTTGGTGCTTTAAAGGTTGCCAGAAATTCTCCTTGTGGAAAGCTCCACAGAATAAGGATTCCATGGCTGGAATTGTGGTGCTCTAGAAGAGTCCTTGCTCTCCCTGTTAGGTTCTGGGAAATGGGGTCACGTGAGGGAATCAGCATCGTTTAACATTGGCATAAGTGGAGTGGTTGGAGGTTATTGATCTGTGCTTTCACCACGGAGTTAAGGTTATTTAAGGTTAGTTAAGGTTATTTATCTCAGTTCTCGTGCCCATGAGCTGCAAGGTGAGAAAGTGCTGCTGTAGGTGGTGGGAGGTAATTCCCTGTGGGGCAGGATGTTCCCCTCTGGAGCCTCGAGGGCTGGCACTGGGGAGCCAGCGGGTTGTGATACCCAGCTGGAAGTAACCAGTCAGCTTAGCAGCAAGGTGCAAAGCCATGGAATGGTATCTCCTCAGAGTTTTAAGTAGGCAAATATATCCAAATTAATATGTACCTGTAGGAACTCAGATTTATATGTAACTGGCCTAGAATTTATTAGTTCAAACATATAACTTTTCAAATATAACTTTTCAAATTATTCACTCGGGAGCTGATGTAGCATAACACAAACCAGAAATGCCAGTAAACCTGCATCAGTGATCTAAGCCTGTGCAGGAGAACCACTTGTAAAATCCTGTGACTTGTGTTTTCTAACAATATAACATTTGCAATTTCCCAGAAAGTCAGATGATGCATTTCCGAAAGTCAGTGCTTAAGGTGGAATCATTTCTTGAAAGAGATTGGGTCATTGAGCTCTCAGGATCTGAGGTAAAGGCTATATAAAGCAGTCTCTTAGGAGGACTTGTGGCAGAACTGCATTGTTAAAGGTCACAGCACAGTGGGATGTGCTGAGCGAGCTGACCGTACCGGCACAGGCACGGCAGTGCATGGATTGGGTATTCCTTAGGAAAGTCACGCCCTGTGCAGGAGCCTGCCTGGCCGTCTGCTTGGATAACGTGGTGGGCAGCCCCTGCTGCTGCTGCTGGCTGCACTGGAGGAGGCCCAGCATCCCATCAGTCCAGGGGAGGTTTCTGGGCAGTCATGGCACAGCCAAGACTCCGCTGACAGAAGGGAAAGTGCTGACCTTGCAAAGGCTGTTCCTGCAGTGCCTCTGGCACAGCCCTCGTGGCTGGGCTCCCTCTGCTCTTGGAGGAGTTTCTATTTCGGGCACCCATTGCCTTCAGCAGTGCAGGTGAGGGGCAGCACATTCCCAGTCCAAAATAGAATAGCCTGAATTATTAATCCGTGTTTGCACGCTATCCCTGAACTGCATGGCTCAGGCCTTTCCTTCCTCCCTCTGGGAACCGGCCTGGTCCTTCAGGGAGTAAGGAATGAGGTCATGCTGGCGGGGATGATCCTGTTTCCTTACCTGCCCTCAGCGAGGGCTGGCAGGGGTGGGGAAGTGCCTCTTGCTGCGGAGTCTGTGGAAAGGTGACACCGGCCACACGAATTTCACTGGACCTGATGAACAGGCAGGGTTGCTTTTCCCGTGGAGCCTGAAATTTTAATGGCACAGATTAAATTACGGAACTTCTCCGCTTACTTGTGTCAATGTAACACTTTATACTGAGCCCAGGAAAAAGGGCAGGGGAAAAGTAAATACAGGAGACTTGCCTCCTAAATAACCTGCAGGTGAGAGAATGATTTCCTTAGCGTAGGATGCCGGTACTGACTTTTTGTCCTTCAAACCAAATGCTTCAAACTGTGCTTAGGAAGTTGCTTTTTGTGTCCCCTTGCATATCCTTGGTCCAACACGTGCATTAAGGCACACGAGCTCCTTAGTGCTGCATTGGAATATCAGCTCACTTGATGCTTCCTGGCTTAGGTGCAGGTGCTTGGCAGGGCTTTGGTGCTGTGCCAGCCTAGGGAAATGAGGCTCTGCCCTCTCTGTCCTGATTTGACGTGTGGAAAAGACTTTTCCCGCTGGGCTCTGAGTCTGATAGTTTTATTTTCCTATAGGGCACATGGGCACGGATCCCTGCTCCTGCAAAGCGCTGCTTCTGACTCAAAGCCGTACAGTTAGTACTGAATTCCTGCTATATGCCAGTCTTTTCCTAAGTCTGGATCCTTCAAACTGCTTTCCACGGATCAACTTCTGCAAAGGTTTGGAGTTCTGCTGAGTTTATGGAAGCAGAGGTGCCTCGTCCATTTAACGCTCACTGAGGGTCTCCCCTGGGGACTCCCATCCAGCACCTGAAGGGTGCTCATGGACTGTGCAGTGTCTCAGCCTTCAGAGGGGCTGTGACCAGTTATCCAGCTTATCCAGGGGTGGAGAAGAGCAGTCCAAAGGGGCACAGTGTCTGCGTGTCTCCTGAAGCCACGTGCTGGCTGCTCGGCTGAGCACCCCCCAGCCCGACAGCTTCCCAGAAACAGTTAATTATTTAGCAGGAGTCACTTACTTAATACTTACTTGTAGGAGTTGAATATTGACTTCAGGAAAAGCAGATGGGACACAGGTCTCAGGGGACTGCAGGATGGCAGACTGTGGGTGGCAGTGCTGAAATAACCCACGCCTGAGGCGTGTGTCCCTAAGCACAGCTGGATTTGGGAGCTGGGCTTCCAGAAGTTCTCACTCTGGCAGTAAAGGGGAATAGATCTTCTGAGTACTGGGCTATTTAGGAAGAACCTGATGGAAAATTTCTAACCATTGCAGCATATAAGGTATTCAGGTATCATTCATGTAGTAAAAATGATAGACACAAGAAATGCACTGTCAAAAAAAGCCCCATCAGATTTTCTTCTGCTGGAATCTGAAACTGTGTGTAGAGGGAAAGAGAAGGATTTATGTCTATGGATGGAAAAAAATCCAAAATAGAAAGATCAGGGATTGCATGTCCCATGATACCTTCTAAAAGGAAACGGTATGGAGGATGTGGAAATTTCATGGAGTAAAAATATCAACCCACCAAGGAGAGCTCAGACTACACTTGCGAAAGGCTGAACTGCGTGAGGAGGTTTATGGCACGTTGTGCAAGCCCGTAACCTGCTGCCCTGGCCAAGATCTTTCCATGAGGAGGTGTTACAGCTCAACTTGAGAGCAGGCTAAGAAAGCAGAGATTGCTTACACCATAAAAGCAGGAAAATCATCCCTCTGCCTCCCTGCTCCGTGTGCCGCGGAACAGAGATAAAGTGCTGCTTGTCTCAACTGCACTAAATCCGAGATAAGTGTTGTTTACTTCACCCCTCTCCAAGAGGAAAGGTTGCTCGTGATCTCGGTGGAGCTGCAGCAATTTCCTCCTGGCAGCGCTCACCTCTGGCCCGGCCTGGTGGAGCTCCAGAGCCTCTGCTCCCCTCCTTGGGGACACGCCTTAACCCTGTCCCTGCCGGCCCTCGCCCCTCTGCCGGCCCTGGAGCTGGCTCTGAACGCACAGGCGGAGCATGCAGGGTCTGAAACAGCAGCGAGATGGTGACAGGCTTACAGAAACACCTCTGGTCCTAAGAAATGGTGCACAGAGGGTGCAGTCAGGGTCATTTGTTCCTGCAAGTTACAGGCAA